GTAAATTATCGTGTCCGTTCCTGAAGGGAGCTCACGACGGCCGCTAACACCCGCTAACAATCAATACAATACAATACAAAAATAGAAAAAAAACTCTTTTTCGGATCTAGAGGCTCAAGTTGTGTTGCAAGATAGTTTGAAGTAGACATTTGCACACAAGTAAACTAACACTAGCATACAGGGAGCACACATGGTGTATTGAGAACATTCAACTTTACCAGCATCATCTTGGCGAGCGGCAGTGGATGGACTGGCTTGATCAGAGTGTGACTGGCTGGCGAAAGGAACGCTCTCTGCCGAGTCTGATTGAACAGTAGAGAAAGTGAATTAAGAAACTATCCATGTCTCTGTGCAGAAATATTCGATTATAGGAATGTGTATCAAATCATAAAGGTAGGCATAACACACATACCCAACCAGTCATGTGTTCATTATCCACAGAGAAAAGTATTCTTTTATTCGTATAGAATCCCATGCAAACAGAAGTTCTCTTTGAGACCTGAGCAAGCCCATAGATCAAATTGTGTTGCAAGATAGTGTGAAGTAGACATTTGCACACAAGTAACTAGCAGTAGCATACAAAGAGCACACATGGTGTATTGAGCACATTCAACTTTAAATAAGCGACGAGGAGATAATAGCTTTCCCTGATGAGTGTGTCATGAAAAATGATTAGGAAATCTTGCATTTTGATTCATCATATTGTTCTCTTTTTTTTGTTTCGTAACGTCCGCCTTACTAATACTATTCTTGACTAGTTTTATCGGCTGAACGCGTCCTTATCGACATCAAGTTTTTAATTTGTGCATTCGCCTCATAATGCATGCTGCCAGAACACTCTGGTTGACTTTGCTATTAATGAAGCCACAGTTTTCACATCTGACATTAACGAGATTGCTTCAACACTTCTACACCTAGATACCTGACAATAACGAGATTTCTACAACTAGGTGGTATTTGCATTCACGCTGCTTGCAATGCTTTTCTTTTCTCCAGCATATTTCAAGACAAGATGATACAGTTTGTTTTACATCACCAGGCATACACATAATTATGGGATAGGTGTGCAATGAGATTGGTGATCTGTCTACTCATGATTAGTCACAGACTGTTAATCCACACACTTGTGATACGTCACGCACTATTGACTCATCCACTCAACATAAGCCAAGCACTTTCGAAGCCCGGACGTTTAAAAAAATAATTTCTGGACAGGCAAGCGCAGCGAGGTAGGCAAGAAAATTTTTCTCGGGCAATATTTTTCGGTTGCAACTATGGCATCTGATGACTTTTTTTATCGTTGTTTCTTTTCCTGGCTTCCTCAATCAGGTTTGAATCTCATCAGTGTCCCTGCCCTTCCAACCTTCATTTCTATGCACATAAATATTGCTTTTCAAACTTTTCCTATGATGTGATTTGCCTGCTTACATGATGCCATACAATCACCATTGGGGACATGCACTTGGTTTTTACCCTCACTGTGCTTCGGCGCGAGGATTTTTTCCGCCTGGCGCGGTCCATGAAAATTAATCTGACCGCCCCACATGCTTCAAGAAGCAGTGCTGTTCTGCATTGTGACCCATCCTTGCAATCCTCGTGCATACTGTCTTCTTTCTATTTAAACAATTATGTTCTCAGTCATAACGTCTAGACTTCTCTCGTTATCCAGTTCACATCTATCTGCGGTCAACTGTCCTTTAATTAGTGTGCTGTTCCTATTTATGAATACATGTAGGTCTGTCTGTAAAACAGAGATGTTCCAGGCTGTCCAAGAGAGTGCTCAATACCGAGAGGTAGAGCCGGTTCAGACAATAAGAGGACAAAGATAGTATTTTAACTCTGAGTTTCACGCACTAAGCGATCATCAGAAACAGTTACTATTGTCTGTATGTATATTACTATTGTCTGTATGCCTGTCTATAATGTAATATTTATTATTAATAGACTTATGCCTCTCCATATTCACCCTATCATCCCTACAGCTCAACAAACGAGTCACGTTGGTCATACATGTACATGTACGCAGAACTAACGTAAGTCGTTGTTACTTCACTACCGACTGGCATTGTCTTGAATGAATCGGAGAGCGATGACTGTGTTCTTGACAGAATCTTGTTCAAGTTTGTTAGGACAGATCGTGGACACGTACTGGTGCCTGTGGCGTGGGACGCGACGACCTTGGAGAACACGCTCGAGTCAATCACCTTGGAGAACACGCTCGAGCCAATCACCTTGGAGAACACGCTCAAGCCAATCACCTTGGAGAACACGCTCGAGCCAATCACCTTGGAGAACACGCTCGAGCCAATCACCTTGGAGAACACGCTCGAGCCAATCACCTTGGAGAACACGCTCGAGCCAATCACCTTGGAAAACACACTCGAGCCAATCACCTTGGAGAACACGCTCGAGCCAATCACCTTGGAGAACACGCTCGAGCCAATCACCTTGGAGAACACGCTCGAGCCAATCACCTTGGAGAACACGCTCAAGCCAATCACCTTGGAGAACACGCTCGAGCCAATCACCTTGGAGAACACGCTCGAGCCAATCACCTTGGAGAACACGCTCGAGCCAATCACCTTGGAAAACACACTCGAGCCAATCACCTTGGAGAACACGCTCGAGCCAATCACCTTGGAGAACACGCTCGAGCCAATCACCTTGGAGAACACGCTCGAGCCAATCACCTTGGAGAACACGCTCGAGCCAATCACCTTGGAGAACACGCTCGAGCCAATCACCTTGGAGAACACGCTCGAGCCAATCACCTTGGAGAACACGCTCGAGCCAATCACCTTGGAGAACACGCTCGAGCCAATCACCTTGGAGAACACGCTCGAGCCAATCACCGTGGAGAACACGCTCGAGCCAATCACCTTGGAGAACACGCTCGAGCCAATCACCTTGGAGAACACGCTCGAGCCAATCACCTTGGAGAACATGCTCGAGCCAATCACCTTGGAGAACACGCTCGAGCCAATCACCTTGGAGAACACGCTCGAGCCAATCACCTTGGAGAACACGCTCGAGCCAATCACCTTGGAGAACACGCTCGAGCCAATCACCTTGGAGAACACGCTCGAGCCAATCACCTTGGAGAACACGCTCGAGCCAATCACCTTAGAGAACACACTCGAGCCAATCACCTTGGAGAACACGCTCGAGCCAATCACCTTGGAGAGCACGCTTGTGATTTACGTGAGCCAATCATCGTCCGTTTCGATGAGAAGATTTGACCAATCTGTAAGCATCATTCTCGGGAGTCGGTTAATAGACAGCAATCTAAGCGATTGTGCCCTCCCATATTTTCTTTTCAGGCAGCGCACCGGAGCTGTTGTGTGCCCTAGAAAAGTTCTACGCCAACGTCCATAATCAGAACATTTCTGAGTACAAACGAAATTCCTTGCTTGCCACTCGATCCGCAATCCATGGACATGCCGAGCGTAAAAAACATTGTTTGCTCGCTGGCTGATGACTTGTCACCACCTGGTCACATGCCGATTTAATTTGTACTCAGAAAAGTCCTGTGTGCGGAAGTTAGCGTAGAAATTTTCTACGGCACTCGCCATCTCCGGTGCACTGACTGAAGAGAAATCAAGCGCAGTACTGCTCTCTTTACAGTCAATATCGAAAAGTGGTGACAATTAGTGGTGAATATCTAGCAATATCCACCACTTATGTAGATGGCCAATTGCATGAGGGTGCGTATGGAATGAAGTATAAGCCAGTGTATATAGAGCAAGAAGGTAGAGCAAGAAGGTATGTATTTTTGTATGTTTTCGTGTATGTATATAGCATACAGACAGAATAAGACAACAATGGTAACAGCACACAAATTGAAGGGCAGTTGAGTGCAGATAGATGAGAACAGGATAAAGAGAGAAATCGTATGCTAAAATGAATAACGCACCTGTTTGTTCAGAGAGCTCCGCTTCATCCTCCTGATACAGGTTTGCAATGCGCTCGTTCGTTTTCCACATGGCATGGCTGAAGATACACACACACACATACACACACACACACAAACACACAAACACACAAACACACACACTCACATTCAAAACGAACAAACATGCAACATACTGACTATTTGATGGAATAACAATCAATACTTGCACACACATGTAGATGCCCACATTGCTGGCCGCACTCCTGCGCGCATTCCTGCCCACACTCTTGCCAACGCTCAAACTCCTGCCCACACTCCTGTCAGCACACTTTGCCCACACTCCCTCCCCACACTCCCCTGCCCACACTCCCCTGCCCACACTCCCCTGCCCACACTCCCTGCCCACACTTCTCTACCCACAATCCGCTGCCCACACTCCCCTGCCCACACTCCCCTGCCCACACTCCCCTGCCCACACTCCCCTGCCCACAATCCCCTGCCCACAATTCTCTGCCCACACTCCCCTGCCCACACTCCCCTGCCCACACTCCCCTGCCCACACTCCCCTGCCCACACTCCCCTGCCCACACTCCCCTGCCCACACTCCCCTGCCCACACTCCCCTGCCCACACTCCCCTGCCCACACTCCCCTGTCCACACTCCCCTGCCCACACTCCCCTGCCCACACTCCCCTGCCCACACTCCCCTGCCCACACTCCCCTGCCCACACTTCTCTACCATGGCTCCAGGTTCACGGATATGTGTTTACTGGCTGACATTATGCCATCCGTGGTTAGTGCACCCACACAGTCACTGGCCACAGTGTGAGCGGACCTAGCTTCCCCAGTTGACCCCCTTTCAGAAGAACAGTGTACACTCTGCCCACACTCCCCTGCCAACACTTCTTTGCGCATTCATACCCATGCCCAAACTCCTGATCACCCTCATACTCCTCCCCTCACTTCTCTGCTGGCATTCTTGATGACACTCCTGGCCTCACTCCTGCCGGCACTCCATCACACACTCCCTCCCACGCTGCTAAGTCCTGCCCGCCCTCCTCAGTCCTGCCCGCCCTCCTCAGTCCTGCCCGCCCTCCTCAGTCCTGCCCGCCCTCCTCAGTCCTGCCCGCCCTCCTCCTCAGTCCTGTCTGCACTACTGCAGTACTGCCCACACTACTGCCTACAGTTGTGTAGGCAGTAGGGAAGGCAGTACTGCCTACACTACTGCCTACACTATTGCCTACACTTCTGCCCACACTACTGCCTACACTACTGCCTACACTACTGCCTACACTACTGCCTACACTACTGCCTACACTACTGCCTACACTTCTGCCCACACTACTGCCTACACTACTGCCTACACTACTGCCTACACTACTGCCTACACTACTGCCTACACTACTGCCTACACTACTGCCTACACTACTGCCTACCCTACTGCCTAAACTACTGCCTACACTACTGCCTACACTACTGCCTACACTACTGCCTACACTACTGCCTACACTACTGCCTACACTACTGCCTACACTACTGCCTACACTACTGCCTACACTTCTGCTTACACTACTGCCTACACTACTGCCTACACTACTGCCTACACTACTGCCTACACTACTGCCTAAACTACTGCCTACACTACTGCCTACACTACTGCCTACACTACTGCCTACACTTCTGCCTACACTACTGCCTACACTACTGCCTACACTACTGCCTACACTACTGCCTACACTACTGCCTACACTACTGCCTACACTACTGCCTACACTACTGCCTACACTACTGCCTACACTACTGCCTACACTTCTGCCTACACTACTGCCTACACTACTGCCTACACTACTGCTTATACTACTGCCTACACTTCTGCCTACACTACTGCCTACACTACTGCCTACACTTCTGCTTACACTACTGCCTACACTACTGCCTACACTACTGCCTACACTTCTGCCTACACTACTGCCTACACTACTGCCTACACTACTGCCTAAACTACTGCCTACACTACTGCCTACACTGCTGCCTACACTACTGCCTACACTACTGCCTACACTACTGCCTACACTGCTGCCTACACTACTGCCTACACTACTGCCTACACTACTGCCTACACTACTGCCTACACAACTGCCTACACTACTGCCTACACTACTGCCTACACTACTGCCTACACTACTGCCTACACTACTGCCTACACTACTGCCTACACAACTGCTCTCAGTCCTCAGTGCTGCCTGCACTACTTCCCGAACAACTGCCGACAATTCTACCCACACTACTGCCTACACTATTGCCTACACTTCTGCCCGCACAACTTCCTACACAACTGCCTACACAACTGCCTACACTTCTGCCTACACTACTGCCTACACTACTGCCTACACTTCTGCTTACACTACTGCCTACACTACTGCCTACACTACTGCCTACACTTCTGCCTACACTACTGCCTACACTACTGCCTACACTACTGCCTAAACTACTGCCTACACTACTGCCTACACTGCTGCCTACACTACTGCCTACACTACTGCCTACACTACTGCCTACACTGCTGCCTACACTACTGCCTACACTACTGCCTACACTACTGCCTACACTACTGCCTACACAACTGCCTACACTACTGCCTACACTACTGCCTACACTACTGCCTACACTACTGCCTACACTACTGCCTACACTACTGCCTACACAACTGCTCTCAGTCCTCAGTGCTGCCTGCACTACTTCCCGAACAACTGCCGACAATTCTACCCACACTACTGCCTACACTATTGCCTACACTTCTGCCCGCACAACTTCCTACACAACTGCCTACACAACTGCCTACACTTCTGCCTACACTCCTACACTACTGCCTATAATTCTGCCCGCAGGTCCCTTCACGCACTTTACCTGACACCAGGCTTTAGGCATACACTCATCACAATATGCTGCATTGATAATTTTCAAAACATGTCATTAAGCGAGCAGTGTAGGGAAATTATTGCCACTGCCAACTGACCAGTACTTAGGCCGAGTGGTTGTGGGCTTTCCTGCGAATCACAAGGTTATGAGTTCAAGACCAGTGCTGACACCAGTGAGCGTGTACTGTGTTAACAAATGCTGTGATGCAAACGTGAAGCACTTTACATGCAGTTATAACTGCTCTGACAACCACTGTCAACTGTGTACTCACTACACTGTATTCGAAGTGAGGGTAACATAGATGCAGCTAACGAGGTTTGCACCTTGTCAGGCATTGCTTGTGGTACTTACTAAGTCACCCTCGCTATCACGTGCTGCATCTACCACCCTGGTATCGCAGGCATGGTGGTGGCCTTGTACAAGCGAAACTTCCTAAACTGGTTGTGTTTCTCAACACAATTGCATACCCGGTTTGGTTGCGTATCTGCGATCTTTATTTTCTTCTGCTTATGTACTCCAAATAAGGAAATGTGTTTTAAAAGGATCTGGGAACTACACAGCTCAATAAGACCTTTCTGTTTTCTAGGGATGACGCCGCCACATGAAGAGACCACATGAAAAGGCTACATGAAAGGCGTCAGATGCCGCTTCTTTACGGATGGAGAGAAAAAATCAGATCCACCAATTTCAGTATATGGGCAAAGGTGAAAACCCACTTTCTGCATCAATGTTGCCCTGTTTTCCACACCTCGTGTTTCCAACTCACTGTGGTGTACAGCACAGTTGAAGCAATCCTCTTCAATTCAGGACTTGATCATGATACATATACCTGTCATTGCACAATCATGGTCTGAGAACTCACTCACTGGGTCGGCCTGACTCATTATATTATCATAAAAAGTATTCTTTCTAGACCAAAGAGTGGTATATTTGATAGCATTTAATAACGATAGAAATATTTACGATACTTCTCCAGACGTTTTGTTGTTCTGAACAACATCGTCAGTGGATAAAGAATGGAGGGCTTTGGGTGGTGGCACGGGTTAATAGGGAGTGATGGTGGTGAGATGAGGTGAGGTGAGAAGGTGAAGGTGGGAAATACATGTATCTAAGTTAATGGTGAAGGTTAGGTGCGGGTCGATACAGGTGGGAAGGGGTACACCCTTCGGGTAGAAGTGCAGGTTGGTAGAAGGTGTTGGTGTGCGTAGAAGGTGGAGTGGCGTAATGGAAGTGTCGGGTTGATAAATGTGGGAGAGAGTCTAGGTAGGGTGTGGATCAGCAATAGGTGTTGGTGTATGTGGTGGGTAGAATTGGCAAGAGGTGTGTGTGTGTGTGTGTGTGTGTGTGTGTGTGTGTGCGTGCGAAAAAGAGTAAGGTAGTGAGTATTGGTATGCGTGGAAGGAAGATGTGACAGAAGGTGTGCGCTATAGGCAAGGGGTGCAGGAATATTTTGAGGTGGTGGGTGGGACTAAAACAGGAGGTTGTGATTCATCTAGTGATATATATAATATCAGCAATAGCAGCAGTATATACAAAGAGGTGTGTGTGTGTGTGTGTGTGTGTGTGTGTGTGTATGCGTGTGCGTTTGCAAGTTTTTGGTAGTGTAGTGTGTTGGGGGGGGGGGGGGGGGAGAGCCGGGTGCGGGTGTTCTTCTTCTATTGCGATCATTTTTGGATGGGTTGGCGGATAGTGGATGGTGGTAGGCGAGTTATGCCAAGAATCCAGTTCCCATATCTTCTTTTCCTCTGTTGATAGTTAGTTTCTTGTCGCGGATGGCATATGCCTCACGGATCCGGAACCTCAGTTCATCCCTCTCCGTGAGCTGAGCAATCTCGTACATAATCTCTGGGGTGGCGTTCGGGTGTTCCCTAGCTTAGTGCACACCGAATGCAGACTTCTTGTCATGAGATTTTGCAGCATTTGTGTGCTCTTGGGCCCGGGTGTGCACTTGCCTCCCAGTCGAGCCGACGTATCTCTCGTGAAAAAGGTGGCATGTAGCTTCGTACACGGCAAATCTGCAGGTGCATTTCTTCCTGAAGATAGGGCATTCGCGCATTCTGCATTTTTCCGATTCTCCTTTTTTTCTTCGTGAGTTTTTGGATGGTTGGGGGTCGAGGGTTAACAAGGCGTGCCGTTATGCCGTTTTTCTTAAGTGCCTGTCGTACTTGGCCGTTCACCTTGTCGGAGATGTACGGTATTCTAAATACCAGTTGTTTCCCTTTTGTTTGTTTACTTGTGTTTCTTCTTCGGGCTCACGCTTTGATGATGTGTTCTGCAGAATAGCCGTTCCCTGCAAGCTTATCTGAGATGAGGCGTCTGGCTTCCTCCGCAAACTCAGGCGTGCTGTTGTCTTGTGCTCGTTTGTATTCATTGTTAACTAGTGACCGCCATCTTAACCACCGTAGGATGGTGGGAATCTGCGTGTAGTGTTATTCCTTTGTTTGCTTCTTTTATGTAGAGCTTGTGTGTGACTTTGCCGTCGGGAAGAATCTTTAGTCTGATATCCAGGATTGGTAGGAAACCATCTTCGTCCGGCAACTCCAGTTCAAACTTGATTGTCGGGTGTTTTCCGTTGAGTTTGGTCACTAGGGACCGTGCTTCCGCAGGAGTGTCAACTGCGGTTCCCGAGTCGTCTACATAGCGAACGAACACTGGCAACGGCGGCGAGATGTTTCTGTAAATGTGGCGCTGTTCAAAGCGGTCCATGACGATGATAGCTATTGTGCCGCTGAGTCTGCTGCCCATCGCCAATCCCCTTGTCTGTTTGAATGTTCCAAGGGTTGGGTGTTGGAACACGTTGTTATATAGAATTAGCCCGAGTAGCTCTTTTAGGTCGACCGGTGTGAGGGAGTAGGTATTGATTTTGAAGCGGTTCGCGTATTCGAGGACGGTGCTGATTCCTTCTTCAATGCCAATGTTTGTGTACAGCGAGATCACGTAGAATGAGATGAGGAGTTTCTTCTTCAGTTTGTTTTCGTTGCTCGTAAATTGGGCTATTAGGTCCTGCGTGCTGCTGATGTGAGCGCTCACGTTAAGCAGCAATGGCTTGAAGATGAAATGGAGGATCCAACCGAGTCTTTTGAAAATACCGCCTGATCCCGAGACGATTGGGCGAATCTTGAGAGATTTCTTGTGTGTTTTCGGCAGTGCGTAGAACCGTTGCGTTCTGGCGCAGGGTGGCGTATTGAGTCGTCTGATGATGATCTTGGGGAAATCTCTGCTTCTGAGAGTTTTCTCTAGAGCTTTGTTGATGGTGAGGCGCAGTGTCGGTGTTGGAGAAACACGAAATTGCTCAGCTCACGGAGAGGGATGAACTGAGGCTCCGGATCCGTGAGGCATATGCCATTCGCGACAAGAAACCAACTATCAACAGAAGAAAAGAAGATATGGGAACTGGATTCTTGGCATAACTTGCCTACCACCATCCACTATCCGCCAACCCATCCAAAAATGATCGCAATAGAAAAAGAACACCCGCACCCGGTGCGCTCTCCCCCCCCCCCCCCCCCCAACACACTACGCTACCAAAAAACTTGCAAACGCACACGCATACACACACACACACACACACCTCTTTGTATATACTGCTGCTATTGCTGATATTATATATATCACTAGATGAATCACAACCTCCTGTTTAAGTCCCACCCACCACCTCAAAATATTCCTGCACCCCTTGCCTATAGCGCACACCTTCTGTCACATCTTCCTTCCACGCATACCAATACTCACTACCTTACTCTTTTTCGCACGCACACACACACACACACACACACACACCTCTTGCCAATTCTACCCACCACATACACGAACACCTATTGCTGATCCACACCCTACCTAGACTCTCTCCCACATTTATCAACCCGACACTTCCATTACGCCACTCCACCTTCTACGCACACCAACACCTTCTACCAACCTGCACTTCTACCCGAAAGGTGTACCATTTCCCACCTGTATCGACCCGCACCTAACCTTCACCATTAACTTAGATACATGTATTTCCCACCTTCACCTTCTACCCTCACCTCATCTCACCACCATCACTCCCTATTAACCCGTGCCACCACCCAAAGCCCTCCATTCTTTATCCACTGACGATGTTGTTCAGAACAACGAAACGTCTGGAGAAGTATCGTAAATAGTTCTATGGCTATTAAATGTTATCAAATATACCACTCTTTGGTCTAGAAAGAATACTTTTTGATATTACAATGAGAGTGAATAATCAACGGCTTGTCCACCAACTCTCTGACTCATTAGGTTGGAAATGATGCAGTACATTTCACTGAATGTTACCTAGGACTAATTCAACTGTTCTATACTTCATTGTTGAGCAATGCATGAGTAGAACTTACAGTGGTGAAGTGGATAGGAAAATTCCACAGCTTCCATGAGCAGCGTGATTCTCAGCATGGCCTGATACATTCAACAGGAAAGAACAGAAAACTGAATTAAGAAACTATCCATGTCTCTGTGCAGAAATATTCGATTATAGGAATGTGTATCAAATCCTAAAGGTAGGCATAACACACATACCCAACCAGTCATGTGTTCATTATCCACAGAGAAAATTATGCTTTTTTTCTGTATAGAATCTCATGCAAACAGAAGTTCTCTTTGAGACCTGAGCAAGCCCATAGATCAAGTTGTGTTGCAAGATAGTGTGAAGTAGACATTTGCACACAAGTAAACTAACACTAGCATACAGGGAGCACACATGGTGTATTGAGAACATTCAATTTTACCAGCATCATCTTGGCGAGCGGCAGTGGACTGACTGGCTTGATCAGAGTGTGACTGGCTGCTCGAAGGAACGCTCTCTGACAAGTCTGGTGGAACAGTGGAGGAAGTAGCTCCGGTGGAGACCGGCTGGACGACTTGCACCCGACGCTTCCGGAATATGTCCGGGAAATCGGTGGCCAGCTGCAGTGCGGAGAGCAACAAGGATACAAACAAGCACCAAACATGGCTCTGATATCAACATCTGTTAGTGTCAATATCATCCACACCACTGAGAGTCAAACAAAGAAGAAGAGCACACGGCTGAGAAAGCATTGTGAATTGTCAATGTGTGAATGGAAGGTGACAGATATTTTGTTGAGTAAAATGGTGGAACAACTTGCATACATCAACAGATATGCAGAGAGAGGGGGGGGTGAAGTACAGAGAGACTGAGAGGAAGAGAGAGGGGCAGACAGAGAGACAGAGAGAGACATAGAGACAGAGAGACTGAGAGAGAGATATGGGGGGAAGAGAGAGAGAGAGAGAGAGAGAGAGAGAGAGAGAGAGAGAGAGAGAGAGAAAAAGAGAGAGAGAGACTGAGGGAGACTGGGAGAGACTAAGAGAGAGAGAGGGGCGTACGCAACAGGCCATCACACTCACCAGTTCTTCATGCTGTCGTAGCACGTTGCAGATCTTTGCAAAGCGCTGGGCGTTCGGTGATTTCACTAGCAGCTGGTGAAGCTTGGTCGAGGTGTGATGGTAGTCGGTAACTGCCCAGCTGTGGACCAATGCTGCTGCAGCGCGTAGATGATTACTGTGCCCACATGATGAAGATGATGATGTAAGGCCCAGGCAGGTGGCCAGTGCAGGCAGGTCGGACTCACCAAGGCTTTCTCTGACGGACTCAAAGGACTGTGCAGAGAGCAGTGAAGCATGGTTAACTGGCCATTCGAGAAGAAGCGGGG